TGTAACCAAGCCCTTTTTTTCAGTTTGACAGCGCAATCACAGCTCTTAGTGGAGGACGAAACCGCCTCTTTCGCACAGCATTCCCCTGTGATTGCAGCTGCTCCGCCCTCCCGCCCTGCTCAGACGAGGCGCAGCGCCCCTCGCAGGACGCCCGGTGCCTTTTCTTGGCACCCTTAGCGCCCCCTTTTTGGTTTTGGAAGGTAAGCTGTATGGGCGTCTGATGTCATCCCAGTGGTGTCTTGCTGAAAAGCAAAAGGCAAGGGGGCCCTCCACACAGCTGTCTTTTTCCGGAGCGTGGCTGCTTTTGCACAAAATCAGAGGAAAGGCCGGATGCCCTCTCATCTTCACCCGGGCAGCCTGTGGCCGGTCCTGCTCTGTCCCGCCGCTTCCCACTCAGCTCTGCATGCCACAGATGCCTCGCCTTGCCTTGCCTTGCCTTTCATGCCCCATCCGCTGAACTGCATCCATGTTTCGTTGTTGTATTCCACAGTGGAACTTCTACATTTCCCACACTCTTGTTGCTCTTGTGTGGCGTTTAACGGGGTGGGGAAACGCGCAAACAGAAGCGGTCATCTTTTGAGGAGGGGCTGCCTCCCTGGGTCTAAAAGTACTCATTCCATTGTGCATTACGCTGGCATGGAAGAGCACAGTATCCTGTATAGACAGTGTCCTGACGCTGGTCAAGGAAACCAACCCGGCCCCCTGGCTGGCTTTGTGACAACTCCTTGGACTCCAAGAGCTCTGGAGAGTGTCCGATGCAAAGGCCTGCGTACTTGATCAACTGTGCTCATGGCAGTGTTGGTGTTGCTTGAATGTTTGTCATTTGGAAGTCCTGCTGGTAGTTTTATATATTCCAGGCTGTTCCTCAGCATTTCAGCTACTATATTTAAAAGAATGCATAGCTTTTCATAGGCATTTTATTTTAACGCAAAAATGAATATTGTTCTACTACAGAGGACAGTCGTAACAACTGAATTATCTGTTTCACCAATGCTTCGGTAGATGCATTCTGCGCTCTCTGTAATGAGCTGTTTGATTAAATGTAAGAACACTGTGCAAATCCACTTGTAAGCAATAAAATTTTACATAAAGGAGGAATCACACAATATGAATCAGGTTTTTTTCTCCTATTTTAAGGCTTTTATTGACATTTATGTAATGGAAGCAATTCTGGGCTGGGAGATAGTGAGGTATCTGCCTTTCGGCATAGGAGGGAAAGTGTAGCAGGGATGAGCCACCTGTAGGGCGCCTGGCCACCCCCCTTACCGGCAGCCTGCAAAACTGTTCAAGATTGCTTATTAGGAAGAATCCCCAAGCCAGGCCATATATTCTGTCCTCTCCCTCTGCAGTCATGCACACTGCTTACTGTTCTGCTCCACACAGCCTCGGGCTGCAATAAAAACAGGGATTAATAATATCATTTCCAGCCATAAGAAGAGTGTCCAACCCTGGGGCTTGAGAAGGCTTGATCTCATCTTCCTTTCAGCCTGCTGGAGAGCCACTGCTGGCAGCCTGAGTGAACTCAATGGAGCCCAAAGACCCCACTCAGTATGAGGCAGCAGCATCTTTTGTCCCCCTCCCCAGCACAGCTTTTCCCAACCAAGTCCACCAGATGCCTTGGACTACAACTCCAATCATTCCTGATCTCGAACTCCTGTGAACAGACTGCTACCAAGAATAATCCACAGGGCAGACCAGGAAGGTACATTGGAGATGTCACCTAGCTGGGTAATGAAAGGTTTGCAAGAGAAGAACCAAGCTCAGAAAACCCCAAGGGCTCCACAGTTCAACCCTGAGCTACACATACTCGCCTCTATTGAGATCAGGAAGAGGAGTGGGGAAACATTGTTTGCTGTCACCAATAACTTTCAGCTAAAGCCATAGCTTTCAGACCACCCTGTTCTTCCTTACTGACAGCTATTGAACTGAAAGCAGCTATTCTACATGATGCCAACTCAGCCCCCACCTCAAGGGCATAGCTAGGGTGGAAAGGGCTCCTGACAAATCAGCAAGATGGTCCCTCAAACCATGCAAACTAAGATCAAGCACAGCCAGAGTACAATAAAAACAAACACCAAGTTCTGCAGCCAACCAAAACAAAGCAGTGTACAGGTAGTCCTTGACTTACGCCCATTCATTTAACGCCTGTTCGAAGTTACAACAGCACTGAAAAAGTGACTTACAACTGGTCCTTACAGTTACGACCGTTGCAGCATCCTGTGGTCACCTGATCAAACTTTGGGCACTTGGCCACTGGCACGTATTTACAATGGCGGCAGCATCCCGGGGTCACGTGATCATCATTTGTGACCTTCCCAGGGGCTTCCAACAAGCAGTCAATGGGAGAAGCTGGATTTGCTTAACGACTGCGGCAAGAAAGGTCATAAAATCAGGCACGACTCATTTAACTGCGCTGCTTTGCACCGGAGGTTCCGGTCCCAACTGTGGTCCTAAGTCAAGGACTGCTATACCGAGATCAAGAGCGTACAAAAAGCGCACCGGTAGTAAGGCGAGCAGCCGAACCAAACCTTTATTAAAAGAGCAACAGCTGACTTGGCGGGCTGGCGGGCGGGCTGGCGGGCGGGCGGGCACACAGAGGTGCGGTCCTCCTCTCCCCCTACTCCTGCCTGGGCTGCGGGGCTCAGGGCGGAACATCCACGCG